TTGTTGCACTCCACAGTGAGCCAGCTAAGAGTAGCCAACCATGACTGCTGTGATACTCACAAAGAACCCCTGAAATGATAGGGGAGGGCCATGTCATGGAGCTGGAAGGGCCCTGCAGAAGCAGCTATGTGGGGCTGGATGGCTCCATTTCTCCAACATAAGAAGTGTGCGTGCGTGTGTGTGTGTGTGTGTGTGTGTGTGTGTGTACGCGTGTGTGCGTGTGTGTGTGTAGAGAGGGGAAAGACTTGGAGAAGAAGGCTCTGGGCAGCCATCAGGAAGGTCTGGGAAAGGATAGGGAGCCAGAGCTGGCTCTTCTTACACTGAACTTGAAGGCCTCCTTTCTTACTCTCCCCCTCCTCTATTGGGTGAAGATGACTTTTAGGTCTTCTCTCTGGGAATTCTGTGACTGTATTGTCATCTCCCCAGCGGGGTTACCATCCCAATGAAACTGATGTCTAAGAAATTTATCTTTGGTACTCCCTACCTCCCCTTTCTGGACTTTTCTCCGTGAACTTTGGCCAGGAAAGCATCCCTTCTTCACTAGGAACCCAGGGACCCAATGCTGCTCCATTTCTCCTGTCAGAGAGTAAAGTCATCTAAAAAACTCACACATAACTGCTACAAAAGTGTTATCTTTATAGTGTATTATCATCCTGCCTATAAACCATTTCTCCTCTAAAAGAGGATCTCAGGGAGGAGGCAATGCTTAACTCAAAGGAATGCCCTACCACACAGAGAATTTCACGAAGAGGAAGGGAGATGTGAGGAGAAGAGGTTTGCTTGGTTGCCTTCCTCCACCCTGGATAAAATGCTTCATTTTATTACTGATCACCTGGCTGGTCTGATTTTTTGTACAAGTTAACAGTATGCGTGAGCAAGACTCATTTCCAGATCGCCATTTCCAGTAGGCTACTTGCACATGTACCTGGAAGTCAAGCAAATGTTTAAACATTGTATTGCAAATCTGCTCTGAAATTACTAAAGTCTTCATAGGAATGTGATGAGTTATGAGAGAAATATCCCCTCTCGGAGTTCCTGTTGTGGGTAATTGCTATCAAATACATATTTACCACAAGGCAGATATTACAGAGGTCAAAAACCTAAGTTTTATTACTATACACAAGCATAGATTCCGGCCTCAAAGAACTCCTGAACCTCGATTAGGACTCTAATAATGCTTCTTATAGCCAAAATTATCTCAGACTGTCAGAAAAAGAATTCTGTTTCATTTTGCAATCTGGTACATTTGCTCTTAGGCCATGAAATTCAAAGAGAACATAGATTGCTAATCTCATACTTCCTTCAATGTTAAAAAAGTTGAACAAACTTAGCTACTTGTCACAAATCTGTGTGTTTTGGTCTTAGAATGCTGCACTATGTGTAAGCAATGAGGGTCATTTTATATTTAGCCTCACCCAAAAGGGGGAAATGAAAGGCAGTGTGGAACAGTGGCCTCAGAGAAAGGGCACAAGGGAACAAGGAGACAAGGAATTCTGGCAGAAGGACACCAGACCCATCTCTGCCATAGACTGACTATATGACCCTGGGCAAGTCACTTCACTTCTCAGTGCCCCAGGAAATGTGCTAAAGCTATAAACTGCAGAGCAGGTGCTGACTTGCACTGACAGAAGGAATTTCCTCACCAGCAAATCTCTAACCCCAGTGGAAACCACTGATCCAGTTAAAAAATACAAGGGGAAGGTGGCAAGCGCCAGCCAGTGTCAAAACATCCCCCCGTGATGTCCTTGGTCCTCTTTGAGAAAGCAGGATGAACAACAACAAAGCCAGAAGTCTTTCCCATGATGGAGACAGAACAAAGAGTTAAAGTTCTGAGGGCTTTAAAACCTCAGGCTGCCCCTTCTTCTAGATTGGGGGAGGGGAACCAGAGGCAGGGCACTCAGGGCTGGCCAGAGGCTCAGCAGCAGCTCTTGGTAGGCAAAGCCTGACCCTGGAGCAGGGAGACTGAGAGAAGGGAATGGGACCAGGACGCGGCCTGGAGGAGGTGGCTAAATGTCAGGTGGCGGCAACACTTGAAGCCAGCCACAGCTGCCTGCTCAGCCAGTTCTCTGCCTCACCAAGCTGCCTCTCCAGATGGGGTTTTGTACATGTAAGAGAGGGAGGCTTCCGTTCCTCCACCCTCAGCTCAGTGGAAGTAATCATTGGATGTAATCACAGATATCTAGGTTTCACTGTGTTATAAATTACTTAACATATTATGCCCTTTGAGATTATTTGTTGAAGAAGTGTAAACACCTTTTTTGCTGACATTACCGAGTTACGGTAAAGAAGGACTCAGAGTCCTCAATCGAGGACATTTATTTTTACCTCTAAAGCAAATAAAAGAGATAGGAGGGTAGACGTTTCCCAGTAAAGTTATACTATCTGCTTGTCAATATTTTAAGTACTTTTGGACATGTAGAAGGAATTTAGTAAAATGATGAAAATTCTTAGAAAATTCTTGTGTCAATCAGGAGACACACCCGGTCCTTCCAGTGTCAACTGCTTAAGACTGCCAACAGTTTGGCAGCAGAAGCCAGGCCTGTCTGAGATCACTTCATGGAGTATGCCTCATGAAGGGATGAAAGATTAATCCCTATAATTCACAACCCCTATTCCCTCCTCCTCCTCCTCCTCACTCGGGGCCAAGCTTTCTGTTGTAGAGCAGCAGACACTCTATCCAGCAGCTGGAGAGTCAGTTCAAGAGAATTCCAGAGACATTTGAGGGAGCAGAGACACAGTCTCTTCAGGGAGACATAGAGAGAGTGAAGCCATAGACCCGGAGCCAAAACAGATTCAGGGAGTGGGATCTTTGACAGCTAAAACAAGAACCAGCTAGCAAGTCAAGATGACTGTCAAGAGTGGGATGGTGAGGAAGGGGAGACTCCACGAGGCCAAGTGAGGAATCAGTCCAGCAGAGATGCTGAACCCAGGATAAAATGTCTGCAGGGCTCTATAAAGAAAGGCACAGTGGGTAGGTGGTGCAGTGGATTCAGTGGAAGCAGGAAAACTGACTTTCTTGAATTCTAATCTGGCACTTATTAGCTGTGACACCCTGGGCTAGCCACTTCACCCCATTGCCCTCAGCTTCCTCATCTGTAAAATGAGCTGGAGAAGGAAATGGCAAACCACTCCAGTATCTTTGCCAAGAAAACCCCAGATGAGGCCATGAAGACTTAGATGCCATTGAACAATAACAACGTAAGGGGAGGAGAGGAAGGACATTCAAGTAGGAGTTGGCCTGTTTAGGCTTTGTCCAGCCTCACCTTCTAACATCACTCCCTCAGTGATTCCTGGCCAATGATCCAAAATTCCTGTCTCCAAGAAGCCCCAACAGAGCAATGATACCACATTTTTGTGGTATAGGGGTATAGAAGGCTATACTGAGGGTCTGCCCCCTTCTTTTCTGCAGCATTGATGAAACCCCCTCTTACCTGCATCCAGGGATGCAGTACTGCCACTATATTAGCCAAGGGAGCTCCTGTATTTCAGGTAAATTGACTTTGGCCATAACTGAATAAAAAGAGTTTTCCCTCTCCCATAGCTTTAAAAAGCAACATCTCGAAAATGGCTATACCTTTGTCCCTCAAACCCTTTCTAAGAAGCAGCTGGCTCAGTTATCCTTGAGAAAGGAATCCTAACATTTAGGAGGGAACTGAACCACTTTCCTGGGCTGTCTAGAGCCTTTTCAGGGAGCAGAAACCTCAAAGGCCTAGGAAACTGTCTACAGGGTATGGAATAAAGGAGGGCTGCAGAAGGTCAATTTGGCCTAACTCTAAAAATTGTCCATCTGTCTAGGGCAGGGAGAGTTCATGGAGGCTAGTTCTGAGAGAGAGCCCTCCCCCTACTCAGTGCACTGCTGATTATCAAAGATGCAGCTTCTCAGAGCTGGGACACATAATTCTGATTGTCATGGGTATGATGGTGGAAGGGGTGCTTTAAAAGGCCTTCATCAATGCCAGCTGCCCAAGGGTAGGACAGCAGGGGCAGAGCCCAGGGAATATGATGAGAGTGGGCCCAGGCTCCAACCTGCTGTGCAATCAAATGAGTGGCTGGCTCAGAAGCAATGGTGCAGCAGGGCCCATAAGGAAGAAGACTCTCCGGTCAGGGCTTAGATGGTGGCTGTCCCAGTGGGGCTCATTGTTGACATCACAAAGCCACATCCCAAAGAAGAATCCCTTGCTGCCAGGGTAAATCTCAGGCTTTGAGGTAGGGGAAGAAGACCAAGGTCATCACCTGGCTAGTCAGAGGCAGGTTGACAATCTCCTGGAATCATGTCATACTCGGTCAGGGCTTAGATGGTGGCTGTCCCAGTGGGGCTCATTGTTGACATCACAAAGCCACATCCCAAAGAAGAATCCCTTGCTGCCAGGGTAAATCTCAGGCTTTGAGGTAGGGGAAGAAGACCAAGGTCATCACCTGGCTAGTCAGAGGCAGGTTGACAATCTCCTGGAATCATGTCATACTCATCTTTCAAAGGCAGAGCTGCTCCAGTTCAGATGCCTAGCAGCCCCTCATCTACTGAGTCCTCCATTCCCCTCCATCAAACACCATGACTCATGCGGATGGGCCTTCAGGGCAGCAGTTGGAACAGCCTGAGCCTGCAGGGAATCCTGGCTCTCAGCCCAGAGCAGCTCACCTCAGAATTCCATGGCTCCGGAGTCTGGATGCAGAGACTGGGGTGGTTTGGAACAACCAAGTTCTTTTGGAGGCTACTTTCATTTTGCTTAAAGTGATGGCCAGCTTCTCAGAAACCATTAGTCAGAGCCAAGGAACACCTGATCAGGCAATGCTAGGACTCTCTCTGCCAGCTCCCCATAGGCTGGGGTCTTAATGCATCAAGCACTAAGCCAAGGCCAGGGTTCAAGGCTGATTCCACCAAAGACAGCCTCCTTGCCCTTTCAAGTCAACTCAACTCAGCCTTTGTATCTCCCCTCACACTAGAAGCAACTAAGTGGTACAGTGGCTGAGCCTGGAGTCAGGAAGACCTGAGTTCTAATTCAGCCTCAGACACTACCTAGCTGTGTGACACCAGCCAAGTCACTGGCCCTCTGGTTGCCTCAATTCTCTCAACTGTCAAATGGGGATAATAATAGCACCTACCTACCAGGGTAGTTGTGAGAACCAAGTGAGATGATATTTGTAAAGTGCTTTGCAAACCTGCTAGTGGCACATGAATACTTATTCCCCTCAACCACACTGGTCCTGATTACTCTCTAGCTCTGCCTCTGCCCTCTGACCTAGCTTGTTCCTAAGATTCTCTCTAAGCAGAACAACTCACTCCCTGAAGCCTGGTTCCTTTGTTGCCTCCATAAAAGAATGGTGTCTTTCCATCTCAGAACAGTCACTACCTTCTGCGGGGTTCCTGGCTAACAGAGACTGGGGGACCTTGGTCCCTGAAGAATGGGGCACTTAAGATTGGAGTCTGCTAGAAAGTGAGTTCTCTGATTACTGCTCTAGACCTCAATTTTCTTTCCTTAGGGAAATGGCAGGGAAAGAACTTCCAAGCAGCGTGACCTTGGAGACTGCAATGGAGATCCCAGCTCTTGGTCGACCCTTACATCTGGGGACACTGTATGACTGCCGCTCAGATACCTTCATCCCTGGTAATCACTCTGTGGAATGCAAGGCGTTGTTCCAGATGTCAGGAGAGGGCAGTGTTAGAAAAGAGTTCTTTCTAGGTGAAAAATGATCAGTGTAAGCAAGTCAGATTCAGAGAAAGTCTCAGGGACTAGAATGTGTCACCTTCTCTTTTCTCCCAGTTAGAACCCACCAAGATCACTTACTTCTGATGGGAGATGCTAGATGATGGCAAATCCCAGCCAGGAGTGAGGAGTGAAGTCTGAAGAGGGCAGGGTAAGGAGGGGCTCATTCATCCTGGAAGGGTGGAGGTCAAAAAGAGAAGTAATCTTTGAAAGCTCTAATAAAAAGAAGACCAAGTTTTTTAAAAACACTTTTAGCCAGAGAGAGAGTCAGAGCCTTAATTCAAGCAGACACAGTGTTGGGAGGTGGAGAGGACACACACACACACACACACACACACACATACACACACACACCCTACATCCAAGGTGTTTGTGCATGTGAACCAATCTGGTTAAAATAAAGTTGAAGGGCAGCCTTGAAGGAGAAATAAGACCTGATGGTTCAGAATGAGGGGTTGGCAGAAGGTGGAAGGACAGGCAATCCCATCACCTTCCCTTGAGAAGGGTGAGAGTTACAGGTTGTTTGAATATACATTGACTTTTGATCTTTACCAATAGCTAGAAGAGAGGCAGCTGGTGCCTCAGTCAATTGAGCACAAGGGCCTGGAGTCAGCAAGACCAGAGTTCAAATTCAGCTTCAGACACTTCCTAGCTGAGTGACCCTGGGCAAGTCACTTAACCTCTGATTGCCTGACAAAAGGATCATATGGAAAAGGAAAAGTCAATCACTCCAGTATGTTTGCCCAGAAAACTCCATCCATAGCCATGGTCCACAGGGTCAGGAAGAGTCAGAAACTCCTGAACAACAAGAACTATCTAGAAGAGCCACTTAATTGTATCCCACTCATTGCCTTCCTGAGTCACATCCCAGGAGCCAGTTAGTAGTATGCAGCTGGGTGGTTCAGTGGATGGACCTGAACAGACTGGCCCTGAAATCAGAAAGACTTCAATCCAAATCCAGGCTTAGGCACACGCTAGCTACGAAACCCTAAGCAAGTCACTTAACTCTGTTTGCTTTAGTTTCCTCATCTACCAAATAAGGATGATAATAAAAGTACCTGCCTCCTAGGGTTGTTCTGAGGATCAAATGAGATGATATTTGCAAAGTGCTTTGAAAATATTTATAATTTTTAATTTAATTTTTTCCAATCACATATAAAAACATGCAATTTTTGAAACAAACTTTAACGTTCACTTTCAAAAATTTTTCATGCCAAATTCTCTTCCTCTCTCCCCTCTCACTTCATTGGAAAGGCAAGAAATTTTACCTAGGTTAAACATGGGCAGTCATGCAAAAGGTATTTCTGTAGTCATGCTGTAAAAGAAAATATACAAAACACACATATGCAAAAAAAGTTTAAAAAAACTCTCTTCATTCATACTCCATCAGTCCTTTCACTGGAGGTTGATAGCATGCTTCACCAAAAGTCCTTCAGAATTGCCTTAGATCATTGCACTGCTGAGAATAGCTAAGTCATTCACAGTTGATCATCTTACAATATTGCCGTTAATTGTGTACGCTGTTCTCCTGGTTCTGCTCCCTTCACTTTGGGCCAGTTCATGTAAGTCTTTCCAGGTATTTCTGAAAGCATCCTGCTCCTTATTTCTTATAGCACAGTAGTTTTCCAGCACAATCATATCTTACGACTTGCTCAGCCATTCCTCAATACTCTGCAAATATTAAGGTACTATATTAATGCTAGGGAGTAAGATTATCGTTAGCTAGCAGCATAGAATGTCTCACCACAAGGGGCCTGGCCAAGACAACCCAGAAGGAGCTGTACTTCCTCAGAGGCATAACTACTCCTTTTCTGTCTCAGAGAATGTTCCAGAGATCATACCCTCAGCTAACACTGCCAAACCTGCTTTGTACATGCAATATATCTCCTACACCCATCAAGAACTGATGTCACTCTGGATGACCTCCTGTTCTCTATCTAGTTCAGACAATGTGTTAGGCTACTCCTATAGTCAGAAGACCAGGGCTCTGCTTTGATACTTGCTAGCTCTATGTTCTCCAAAAAGTTAACCAACACCTCTCTGAATCTCAGTTTATTTGTCTGGAAGATGGGGCTAATGATGATAGCACTACTTACTTCATAGAACTGTTGGGAGCAAAGTGCTTTGTAAACCTTGTGACCCCTATATCACATAGGCATTTCTTTAAGCAGCAGTCCCCAGGCTGGGAGGAGGAGAGGCTTCCCTATTTGGGGAAGGAACAGAAGGACTCAGAGTAGGGAGGTGTGTACTGGGGCCCAGGGGTGGGAAGAAGGAGGATCCAGATTCAGGGGTTCAGAGTAGGGAGAGGCTTTGTAAGGGTTCCCCCTTCAGTCATAGAAGGCTCAGGGGAGCAAGGAAGTTGCAGAGGCCTAGAGAAGTTCTTGCCAGGTCAGGAGTAGGATTTTCTCCACCTCTGCCATCTGTGCCTCTTGCCCTACTTACCCTCCTTCCACAAGCTGCTCCCAGGCCCAGCTGTCCCTGCTGGAAAGGACACCCTAAAGTGACAGGCTGTGGTCCCTCTGCAATCTGCCATTTACTCCCTAATGTCTCTGTCCCATTCTAGGCATCACTTTATGGGACAAGGAGACCCTTGAGAGAAATGTGACCACAGAAGAGCAATGCAAGACTGACTTTGACATCCTCACCTCTGATTCTATTGATGAAAAGACCAAGGCCATGAATATCTCTGCAGAGCTGAAAGCAAGTGTCTTGGGGGGCCTGGTTAAAATAGGAGGTTCTGCCAAATATTTATGTGACACCAAGACATCCCAACGGCAAGCTCGGGTCACTCTCAAGTACAGTATGACTACCCAGTATTCCCACCTCACCATGAACCACCTGGGGTATCAGAATATTGCTTACCATGATGTGTTTGATAAAGGGACAGCCACCCACGTGGTCACAGCTGTGCTCTATGGGGCCCAGGCTTTCTTTGTGTTTGATCAGAAAGTTTCCACCAATGAAAACGTTAAGGATATAGAAGGCACCTTGAAGAATAAAGTAAAGAAGATTCCCCAAGTATCAGGAAAAGCAGGGGGAAAGATGAAAATGGAGCACAGTAAGAAAAAATCAACCAAGGAATTTAGGTGTAAGTTTTATGGGGATTTTGTTCTTCAGACCAATCTGATGACTTATAAAGATGCAGTAGAAGCGTATGCCTCCCTTCCTAAGCTGCTTAGGGGCCGAGGGGTGCCCCTCCAAGTCTGGCTGTACCCTCTGGAGAAGCTGAGCTCCAAGGCTGCCAGGCTGGCTAGAGGAATCAGCATTAGCTTGGTATGCAATGCCCAGGACACTCTGGAGAAGTTATCTGAGTGTGACAAGAGGTGTAATGACATGCTGGAGGCACCAGAGCTCTCAGTCTTTCCTGCAATCATGGAAAAGGTCAGCTTATTCCAAGAGCTAAATAAGCAGCACAGACAGCTTTTACAGAAGGAAATAGCCAAGGCCTTACCCCTGATCAGGACAGGCAGAGCAGAGGAGGATGAGCTGACCAGTATTTTAATTAGGGAGAGCCAGTCCCCATTCAGCACTAACAGGCTCTCACAGTTCCTGGATCAGAAGCTCCAGGAGATGAAGGTGCTAAAGTCCTACCTCACCCTTCTGAAGGAGGTGCCAGTGATAGCCAACCAGAATGAGGTGGACGATGTGGTAATAGGCTCTCCCCATAGATTTGTCCTGGTGTTTGCACTCACCTCTTTGCAAGAGGAGCCCTACTTAGCAGACTGGAAACAGTGGCTGCGGAATCCAGCATCATTCAGTCCTGACTGTGAGCAAAAGACATATTCCTCATGGGTCAAGGACAGAGAGACAAGGAGAAAAGCAAGACAATTGGCAGAATCCTTTTCAACCTTTGCCAAGGCCAATCATTCCACTGAGAAGACTCACTTCATTGTGGCATCTGTCCCAGAACAGGAGAACAAGGGGGTCTCCATTTACCTCTATGAAAAGGGACTGCAGGTCAGCACCAACTTTGAGCTACCAGTCAAACCTCCCCCTCCCCAGATTGGTGAGGTCACACATGACTGTGTAGAGCTCACTGTGACCTCAGCATCTAGGCAGGAGGAGAGGATCACTGGCTATCAGGTTGAGTACCAAGTTGTAGGGCAAGAGGACTGGACCGCCATCCCTGTGTCTGGAAAGCCAGAGGTATTCAAAGTGAGGGGCCTACAGCCTAGCACAGAGTATCTCTTCCGGTTTGCTGAGGTGTGTGAGCCAGGGCTGAGTGAGAGCAGTGACGTGAGCCTCGTTGTGAGGACACTTCCCCTGACCTGGCCTCCTGGGAAGCCAGAAGCTGTTGTGGTGGGACCACAGTCTGTGACCCTGCACTGGGACGGTCCAAGGGTTGTTGGAGCAGGAGTCAAGATCAAGGACTATAGAATAGAGTACAGAGAAGAGAGTGAGGCTGTGGGTGAGGAGGGGGAAGGAGAATGGCACGAACAGAGAACAGGAAATGAGGGGACATACTGTGATGTCGATGGACTGACCCCTCAGACTGTGTACAGGTTCCGAGTTTCTGCCGTGTGTGATGGTGGCCGGACCAGTGACAGCAGTGACAAGAGTGACCCAGTGAGGACCCTCCCTACCACAGAAGAAGCTACAGTCTCTGGTAAGGGGCTTTTAGCAATTACATTCCATCAGGATGTTTCTCATCACTGGAATATTTGAAGTGTTGCAGGGGTTGATTAGGAGACTCTCATTGATTCCAAAGTCCACTCAATGAAATTACCATGGGTCAGAACCTGAGGAACTTATTTGCTGTTTGTAGGAGTCCATTTAGTGTGGGAGGGGGTGGGTCAAGGCACCTTTTTTTGACAGGTGACCTCACATTGAGCTTTTTTTTTTTTAAATCTAGACCTGTACTATGATCACAATTTCATGGAAAAATCCAACAATGGAAACTCCTTCTGTCCAGAGCAGGAGCTCACAGTAATTTGTGACTTAACAGCAGCAGTCCTTGCTGTTTTTTCTATCTTGCATCCCTTAGCAGTATGGTGAAGCCTATCAACCCCCTTGGCAGAACAATGTTTTGAAAAGAATGAAATACAGGAAGCAGCTAGGTGGCACAGTGGATAGAGCACCGGCCCTGAACTCAGGAGGACCTGAATTCAAATCCGGACTCCAACACATAATACTTACTAGCTGTGTGACCATGGGCAAGTCATTTAACCCCACTGCCTAGCCAAAAAAAAAAAGAAAAGAAAAAAAATGAAATAAAGTAGGGGATCACAAAAGAAACCAATTATATTCAAATGCAATTATTAAAATATGTATATTTTAAAACAACCCTACAAGTTCATGGATACCAAGGTAAAGATGCCTATAATTTAGGGATTTGTTGGAAGGGCACTGAGGTTTAAAGGACTTTACCCATCTTCACATAGGACATGAACCCAGGTCTTCCTGACTCCAAAGCCAGCCTGCTACCCATTATCCCACACTGCCGCTTCCTTCAAGCTTCTAGACAGTTTTTAAGCACCAAGTCTTACCTAATACCTCACATCACTAGAGACGCTGTATGACACAGAATTGACATCTTGGGTAACAAACCTAGGCCATAATGATTCTATTTAAGTAATCTAATATTCCATGAGTGTTTTCAGCTGCTGTGTCACCTTGATGCCTCATTCAGGCTCATGTTGGGCAGCCCACTAAGACTGTGGACAGTTTTCTGGTATTAACTGGTTAATCCCATATTTTCATCTGGTAGAATTCAGCCTCAGGACAGAGACTTTAGTTTTTGTTTCTGTTTCTCTTTTAAGCCTGGTACTTGATCAATTTTCATGAATTAAATTTGTTCTGATATTGTTTGGGTTTGGGTTTTTTTTTTCTGTGCTACAGAATCCTATTCCACCCCTCACTTTCCCCCCACCCCATCCCTGACTCTTCAACCACCACCCTGAGCTCTCTAGGCCAAAACCTTAAAAACTGCATTAAGATTTTTGGGAACCTCTCTATGTGTCCTGTTTGTTGAAGTCCTGTTTCCCTAGCCCCACCCCCCACCCCCACTTCTCCACCACCACCCTGGGCCTTCAGACTCGGCCCAAGGCTCTTTCTAGCTAGTGGCTCAACATTTTAACAGAGGAAGGGGAGCTGTGTTCTGGAAAGAGGATACCATGAACCTAGGAGAATGACATCTACTGCCACCTGAATCCCATTATTTTCACAGAAACATATACACCCCTGTTCTTCCATGTTCATGGCTCCACTCCCACCCCCAACAACCCCTGAGTGACACTCTTGCCCTACCCTAAACTTACCATGAAACTTACCATGACCTTCAATTCAGACCACTCCAAAGAAGGTCGAATGAAGGCTCTCTTTTTGAGTTCAGGGGGCTTAGAAGTGAGGATTCTTGGTCAATTCCTCAAAAACATGTCAATTATTACACCAGGAGGAAAAGGCCTTTCCAAATCAGTGATTGTGTGATAATGTAGCATCCATACTAGGAAGAGAAAGGAAGAAAAACCCATGGGAGACTTAGGTGTACAAAAGAGATCCATTAAAGGATATCTTTACAGCTGGCTAGAGATGGGAAGGAGATTTGCAGTTAATTAACACAATCAACATGAAGCATTTATTAAGTATTTACTAAGTGTCTAACACTGTGCTTGGTACTGCGTGATACAAATACAAAGAAAGAAGCAATTCCTGCTTGCAAGGAGCTCACGTTCTATTGAGAAAAATTTATATTCTAATGAAGGAATTGGCTTCCAGAATGGGGTGGTGGTATGGCAGTTCCTCCTAAATTTTCTTCCCAGCTTTCCCCTTTTGCACAAGAAAATCCCTCTTCTGATGGATGTAAGGGATGTGCTCTCTTTTTGAGGTGGGGGGGAGGTGAGAATGTTACAGGATGGTGATTGATGGGTGAAAAGGTGCTGTCTGCTACTTTTGCTTCCAGGTCTGTATGCTGAGATCTTTGAAGCTGTCATAGATGGGGAGGACAGAGAGTGGGGGAGGTGTACATTATAGGACTGGAATGGTGCCTCCACCTAGTTGAGGTCAGCTAAGAAACCAGAAGTGGAATTTCACATTTATTCACATCCAGGTGCGACGTAGTTGTTTGGACTCAGGTGGACACCTATCTATACAAATTCTTATTGGGGAAACAGAGGGAGGCAGATCTCAACTAGGGCTCCTCACTGGCAACAATTAGAAGAAGAGATTCCTGAATTTGAGGAAGTTTTGTTTTGTTTTTAAGGAAGAAGACTTATTCAAGGCACCCTACCTATTTTGTTTCCTTCATTTGATGGTAAGTGTTCCTCCCAGTGAATGATTATGTGATAACTCAAGTATCTTCACTAGGAAGGGGAAAAAGGAAATCCAGCAACAAGATTTATATGTTCGAAAATGATTTATTAAAAGTTACTGCTAAGGGCCCTAATCTTTTAATAGACCCCAAAGTTCTAGAGGGCAGAACCCATTTTAACCCAGCTCTAAGTAGGACAAAGGGCACAGGCTTTTGGATGATGAGGGATGGGGTGGGGGTGGCATGTCAAGGGGACATGGGATGGGTGGCTGTGTAAGATTGTAACCTGGAAAGGAATGGATCAATCCAGGCCTGGAAGGGAGGAGTCGAAGCGTTCTAACAGTATAAAACTTTTTCTCACTTCTGTAATCCACGCAATATCTTCTGAGAGGTGTGCCCAGTTCTCCCATGAACCTTAAAATAAACGATTCTTCACTCAAAAAAAAAAATTACGCCTATGTAGCTTCCCAGGGCCCAGGAGGATTGTAGATAGGAGTGAGAAGCTGTAATGCTCCAAATCTGCAGCTGAATTGGGGTAGTATGGAGTTTCCAAAAATGACTGCTCAGTTTCCCTTTACTGTATATGAAAAGTCCCTTCTCTGATCTCTGCTAGAGATCCCTAACTTGGGCTGGGGTGGGGGGGGGAGGGGTTGGAGATTCCAGGATGTTGATAGGTGAGGACCAAGGTGTTATTTGCTACCTCAGTTTCCAGGTTAGGGTCTTGGAGTCTAGGAGTAGAATAATTATTTTAGGGAAAGAGCAATAGGGAACTGAAAAATTCCCTGATTTATTCAAAAGTGGCTGACAAGGGAGCTATAAGAAAGTTATCTGTGATGTCAGCTGATATGGACCATCTAAGCCAAGATGGGCACTCATCAATGAAGTTAATTGGGCAAGATAGAGAGACCCTTCTTGACTGATTTTAGAGGCAATAGCAAAAACTATAGACAATCCTTAAAGGAAACCTGCCAATTATCTATCAAGTGATAGGAAAATGGCCTTTGGGTTGTTCTCATAAGTGACGAATCAGAGATTTATGGAGGTGCCCACATTTGTTTGTATTTTTTTCTGGGATGCTATGGGTGAAATGCTAATTCAGAGTCTAGAAGGAATGGGAAATAAATTTCTTTATATTGTATTTATTTTGTTAAGTATTTCCTAATTATAATTTTATCTTTTTTTAAATTCATTTTTTATCTTGAGTTCCAAATACTCTCCTTCTATCCATCCCTTACCCAAATCCATTGAAAAGACAAGTAACATGACACACATTATTTATCTGAAGTCATACAAATCATATATCCATATTATCCCTGTTGCAAAAAAAAAGCAAGATAAATAAACTGAAAAAAATACGTACTTCTATCTGCACGCAGAGTTCAGAGGTGATTATAGCTTTGCTCTTTGGGGATTTTCACTAGGAAATAGTCATTCAGATTCTTTAGAGATCTGAGGAATAAATTTCCACATCACACAAAGATCCACACGTGGGAAAAGGCCTCAATTATTAATATAGCTGGGTTTAATGTAGCTATGTATAAATGTGTACACACACATGCAATGTGTTTTCTAACAAGCAACAATGATTCATTCATTCATTATGTGCTCCAGAGGAAGGGTAGAATTTAAAGTGATATAAATTTAAGAAATGCCATCTCCTCACACCCCTCAAAGAACAGTCTCCTGGTGGCCTCCCTTTTGCTGACAAGGATCTGAGAATTTCACTAGGACAATAGAGAGCTGGCCATATTCAAAGCTCCTCCAGATAGGTCCAGAGGACCCATCTCAGCTTGTACTCCATGGGCATAGCCCTCAAGAACCTAAGGGTCATTCCATGTCATGATAGGATTTCTGAGCAATACTTTATTACAATCATCTACAAAACCCAGTCATTCATTCTTCTTTCTTGTTTCCTACAGAACCAGACAACAGTGGAGGAGACTCAAGGGAGCCAGAACTCAGAATTGTCCTTGTGGGGAAAACAGGGGTTGGGAAAAGTGCAACAGGAAACACAATCCTGAGCAGGAAAGAGTTTAAATCCAAGTGTTCAGGAAAGTCACTCACCAAGGTCTGCAGGAAAGCCAGGGGCAGATGGAATGGGAGGGACATTTCTGTGGTTGATACTCCGGGCATTTTTGACACCGATACTGCTGAGAAAGAAAACTTGGAGGAAATAGCTCACTTCATGACACTATCCTCCCCAGGACCTCATGCTCTACTCCTGGTGTTGCAAGTGGGTCGTTTCACCAAGGAGGAGAAGGCAGCCGTGGAAAGGCTTTGTAATATTCTAGGAGCTGAAGCAGTGAAGTTTTTGATCATTGTATTCACTGGGAAAGACAAACTGGGAGAAGAAAGCATAGGGGATTTCTTGGAAACCATTGATGACTCATATTTCAAGGAGTTGTTGGAGAAGTGTGAACATCGATGCTGTGCATTTGACAATAATGCTAGTGGAGCCCTGACACATGCCCAGGTTTCAGAGCTGATGGCCATGGTTGAGAAAATGGTGCAAGATAATGGGGGCACCCACTACACCAACAATATATATGAATCTGTGGAAGCACTTCTCCAGGAAGACACGGAGGCTCGTCAGCAGCGCTACAAGAAGCAATTTGAGAAGGAGAGAGAAGAAATCAGAAAGAAGTATGAGAAGCTAACGGAAGGACTGAAGAAGAAAATGAAAAAGTTGGGAAAAGAAAATGAACAATATGAGAAGCAAAAGGAAGAACTTGAGAAGAAAAAGAAAATCTTTGAGAATAAGAAGAAGGCCGAGTTAGAAGAATTAAATCTGATTTACAAGAAAAATTATAAACGTGCCCGAGGTGAGGCTGAGAATAATTGGAATACACTTTTTCAAATTGCAGGGTTTATTTTGTCCTGTGTTCTATCAGTTGGCATACATGTATTTCTCAAGAAAGCTTTCTGACAACTTGAATAATTTCACGTTAGCTAGTGATAGAAAGTGAACTTAAGTAATGGAGCTCACATGGTTAATAAGGGAGACAGACATTAGCTGAACCCAAGTCTCCTGACTACAAGTCTAATGTTCTTCCTGGTCCATCACACTGCTTGCTAAAGAACAATGCCTTTCAGAAGAATGTATCCTGATATTTTGCATTAGCAGATATAACTTCCTAATTTCTTATGTTCAGGCTATGGGAACAGACAGCCAGGAACAGACAGCAGAAGGCCAGAATTCAAAACTTATTGTGTACAATTAGGAATTAATTGGCCAAGCTCCATTGTGTGCTTTTTTTCTCCCCAGGAAGCCTTGGCTCTTTTCTTGGCCATCACTCCCATCCTACTTATCCTTTAAGAACCAGCTACAAGACATGGCCAAACCTTCCCTACCTCCTGTTCTTTTCAACTCTGATGATGCCTGTTCTCTACCTTCTACAGCACTTCCTAGAGAGGTTTTACCAGATTGTGGGGCATAGGTTACCTTGTCACTGTCACCATTTGGGCTCACTAGTATATTTTTTTTCATAAACACACTCTAAGCTCTTGGGGTACTGGAGGCTGAAGCTTGAATTGTCAGCCCTTCTAAGAAGCTCTCCCCACACCCCCATACTTTTTATTTACTCTTGTTGGGCTGTAAAAACCAGGGGGCAGAAACAATCTCAAGTTAGTGAGAAGTTTACTGACTGTCACATGCAGTAGCCAGAAGGCATACATGTACAGGCTGAATACATACCTGCAGGTGGCCCAAGAGAGAGACTACAAAATTCCCCTAAATTGCCCCAGTTTTCATACTCTTGATCAAACTCTGGTTTCTTCTCTTTACCAAGCATAGTTCCCCATTTGACACAATACTGATGCAAGTCCTTTTTTTATCCTGAAGAAATTCTGTTTTAAGAACAACCTGAGGTCTCCTATACCAACAATCCCGCAGTTTTATCAACAACCTTATTGCCTCCTTTTTCTATTTTCCAACCTTGTGGTTCAACACAAATTATTATCCCTTATAACAGCATTCTGTTATGGTCATGCACAAAATTTAACCTCTTAAGATATTTGGAGACCCCCTGTTTCACAGAGCTAAGGCCCAGCAAGCAGGTGGGTGCCCTGAGCTTGGAATAACAACAATCCTTTGTTTTCTGGATTATCTCACCCTCTGGCAAAGTGTACTGTACTGAACAGCACCAGGCGTTTACTGCCCCCTAGGGACCAGAGAGCCGACATGCTGCAGTCTAAAGCCATCCATTACAACCTCTTGAGATGCTCACAATCCCCGTTTCTTATAAATGCTAAGTAAACCAAACCAAAGACTACGCTCCTGTTAAGGCTACACTAACTGGATCTGTACCATGCTGTGAAATTACCAACCTGGACACTGTTCCCGTTGGACCCAGGAACAGCTGCATTGAGAACTGCTACTCCAGACCTAAAAATGATTGTGTTGTAATCCAAGCTCCTCCTTGTGGGCTTTGTGTTTATAAGTGCTGCCTTTGCCCCAGCATGTTAAGCTCTTTCTCCTCAGGAAGATTTCTTCTTGTAAGGGTTTCCTCACTTTGAAATTAAACTGCTGTTTCTGTGCTGACTCTCCTGACTCTGGCCTGCTTTGTGTGGTTCCCACCAGCCACAGGTTAGAGGCTGGTTCTAGTCCAGTTAACATTAATTGGTGTCAAAAGTGGGATTGGACATGGAACTGGGTCACTGGACTCTCCAGTACCAATGGGAAGTGGACTAGATGACACTAGAGATTTCTCCAGAGTCCAACCTTCCCCCTAGTCTGGTGAGTCCTCTTCCCTTTCTTCCTGCTCCAATCTCCTGAACTCATCCTTGACTGAGCTCACCTTTCTTTTTTAATTTTTTTAAAATTAATTTATTCATTTTTAGCTTTCAACATTCACTTCCATAAGCTTTTGAGTTTTAAATTTTCTCCACCTCCCTCCCATCTCCTCTCCCCAAGACAGCATGCAATCTGATATAGGTGCTATATATACATTCTTATTTAACATATTTAAACATTAGTCATGTAGTAAGGAAGAATTAGAATGAATGGGAGGAACCACGAGAAAGAAGAAACAAAAAAAGAAAACAGAGAGAGAGAACAAATAGTATGCTTTGGTTTGCATTCAGATTCCACAGTTCTTTCTTCTTTGTGGATAGCATTTTCCATCATGAGGCCTTTGCAGATGTCTTAGATCCTTGTATTGCTGAGAAGGGTTAAGCCTATCAATATTAGTCATCTCACAATGTGGCTGTTATTGTGTACAACTTTCTCTGCTTCTGCTCATTTCACTCAGCATCAGTTCATATAAGTCCTTCTAGGTTTTTCTGAAGTCTGCCTCCTCATCATTTCTTATAGCATAATAGTATTCCATTACATTCACATATCCCATCACGTTCAGCCATTCCCCAATTGATAGGCATCTCCTCAATTTCCAATTCTTGGCCACCACAAAAAAGAGCTGCTATAAATGTTTTTGTACATGTAGGTCTTTTTCTCAATTTTATGACCTCTTTGGGATATAGCCCTAGAAGTGGTATTGCTAGGTCAAAGGGTAGGCACATTTTTATAACCCTTTGGGCATAGTTCCAAATTGTTCTCCAGAATGGTTGGGTTATTCACAACTCCACCAACAATGCATTAGTGTTCCAACTTTCCCACATCTTCTCCAGCATTTATAATTTTCCTGTTTTGTCAAGTGAGTTAATCTGATAGGTGTGATGTGGTACCTAAGAGTTGTTTTGATTTGCATTTCTCTGATCAATAGTGATTTAGAGCATTTTTTCTATATGATTATAGATAGCTTCAATTCTTTCATCTGAAAACTGTTTATTCATAGCCTTTGACCATTTATCAATTGGGGAATGACTTGCATTCTTATAAATGTGGTTCAGTTCTCTATGTATTTTAGATATGAGGCCTTTATCAGAGACACTGGTTGTAAAATTCTTTCCCAATTTTCTGCTTCCCTCCTAATCTTGGTTGCATTGTCTTTGTGCAAAAACTTTTCAATTTAGTGTAATCAAAGTTATTCATTTTGCATTTCATAATGTTATCTATTTCTTGTTTGGTCACAAATTCTTCCATTCTCCATAAATCTGACAGGTAAACTATTCCTTGCTCTCCCCATTTGCTTACAGTATCAGCCTTTATATCTAAATCACGTACCCATTTTGACTTTATCTTAGTATAGGGTGTAAGATGTTGGTCTCTGCCCAGTTTCTGCCATCCTATTTTCCAGTTTTCCCAGCAGTTTTTGTCAAATAGTGAGTTCTTATCCCAGAAGCTGGGGTCTTTGGGTTTATCAAACAGTAGCTTACTATGGTCATTGACTACTGTCTCTTGTCTACCTAACCTATTCCACTGATCCACACTTTATTTCTTAACCAGTACTAAGTAGTTTTGATGATCGCCACTTTATAATACAATTTAAGATCTGGTATGGCTAGGCCACCTGCCCTAGAATTTGTTTTCATTAATTCCCTTGATATTCTGGACCTTTTGTTCTTTCAGATGAATTTTGTTATTATTTTTTCTAGCTCTATTAAATAATTTTTTTTTTAGGCAATTGGGGTTAAGTGATTTGCCCAGGGTCACACAGCTATTAAGTGTCAAGTGTTTGGTCTGAGGCCGGATTTGAACTCAGGTCCTCCTGACTCCAGGTACTCTATCCACTGTATCACCTAGCTGCCCCTTTTATAAAATAATTTTTGGTAGTTTGATTGGTATGGCACTGAATAAGCAAATTAATTTAGGTAGAATTATAATTTTTATTATATTAGCTCAGCCTACCCACACAGCTCACCTTTCTTTATGAAGAAAACTCAAGGGCCCCTTCCTTGACCCAGTTCTGAAAAGGATACACCTCTGTTCTCTACCGGCCTCTATAAATTTGATGCTATGTGACTCTGGTTGGTTTTTTTTTTTCCTGCATGCTTCACAGCCCTGTGCCCCACCACCACCACCACCAATCAACTGTTCCAGCCTTCTCTGTTAGGCTCCAGCCATTCCCAGGCGAGAGGCCATCGGGAAGCATTATTTGAAATGAGGATAAGCTAGAAGCCTTCCCAGTAATATCAGGGGTGAAACAAGGATGCCCATTATTACCACGATTATTCAATATTGTACAAGAAATGTTAGCTTTACTAATAAGAGAAGAAAAAGAAAGTGAAGGAATTAGAATAGGCAATGAAGAAACAAAAGTATCACTCTTTGCAGATGATATAATGGTCTACTTAGAAAATCCTAAAGCAGGGATTGGGAACCTGTGGTCTTGAGTGGCCACATGGAGTTCTGGGTCCTTGGGTGTGGACTTTTGACTGAGTCTAAGTTTCACAGAACAAATTCCCTTAATAAAAGGATTTGTTCTGTGAAGCTTGGATTCAGTTAAAGGGCCACATATGGCTTCAAGGCCACTGGTTCCCCAACTGTGTCCTAGGGAATCAACTAAAAAACTTTAGCAAAGTTGCAGGATATAAAATAAACCACATAAAGCATCAGCAGCAAGAGATTGAAAGAAAAATTCCATTTAAAATAACTGTAGACAATGTAAAATACTTGGAAGTCAGCCTGTCAGGACAGTCCCAGGAGTTATATGAACACAATTACAAAATATTTTTTACACAAATAAAATCAGATCTAAACCACTGGGAAAACATCAATTGTTCATGGTTAGACTGAGACAATAGAATAAAAATGACAATCCTACCTAAATTAATTTATTTATTCAGTACCATATCAATCAAACTACCAAAAATTATTTTAGGAAGCTAGAAAAAATCATGACAAAAATTCATCTGGGAAAACAGAAGGTCAAGAATTTCAAGGGAATTTATGACAAAAATGCAAATAAAGGTGGCCTACCTATATCAGATTTCAAACTACATTATAAAGTGTCAATTATCAAAACTATCTGGTACTGTGGAGAAACAGAGTGGTGAATCAGTGGAATAGATTAGGTACACAAGACGTAGTAGTAAATGACTACAGTAATCTACTGTTTGAGAAACACAAAGACTCCAACTTCTGGGATAAGAATTCACTCTTTGACAAAAACTGCTGGGAAAACTGGAAAACAGTATGGCAGAAACTAGATATAGACCAACATCTTACCCCATATACAAAGATAAGGTAAGATCAAAATGAGTACATGATTTAGACATAAATGGTGATACTGTAAGCAAATCAGGAGAGCAAGGAATAGGTTACCTGTCAGAACTATGGAGGGGGAGAATGTATGACCAAACAAGAGATAGAGAACATTATGAAAGGTAAAATGGATGATTTTGATTATGTTAAGTTTAAAAGGGTTTGCACAAACAAAACCAATGCAACCAAGATTAGAAAGAAAATAGAAGGCTGGGAAACAATTTTTATAGCAAGTGTCTCTGATAAAAGCCTCATTGCTCAAATATAGAGAGAAATGACTGAAATTTATGAAAATACAAGTCATTCCTCAATTGATAAATGGTCAAAGATATGAACAGGCGGTTTTCAGATGAAGAAACCAAAGCTATCTATAGTCATATGAAAAAATACTTTAAATCACTGTTGATTAGAGAATTGCAAATTTAAAAAAACTCTGAGGTACTATCTCTCATATCTATCAGATTGGTTAAAATGACAGAAAAGGAAAATGATAAATGTGAGAGAAGATCCGGGGAAAATTGGCACATTGGTGGAGTTGTGAACTTATCCAACCATTCTGAAGAGCAATCTGGAACTATGCCTAAAAGTCTATAAAACTTTGATCCAGCAATACCACTACTAGGGGAAGGACATACATATACGAAAATATTTAAACAGCCTTTTGTTGTGGTGGCAAAGAATTGGAAACAGAGGGGATCCCCATCAATTGGGGGAAATGGATGAACAAGTTGTGGTATATGAATGTACTGGAACACTATCGTGCTACAAAAAATAATGAGGGGGTGATTTCAGAAAAACCTGGAAGGATTTACATGAACTGATGCAAAGTAAAGTGAGCAGAACCAGGAAACCATTGTACACAGTTACAGAAGTATTGTGTAATGATCACCTATGATTGACTTAGCCCTTCTCAGCAATACAATGACCCAAGATAATTCCAAAAGACTCACGATGGAAACTGTTATCAATATCGACAGAAAGAATTAAAAGAGTCTAAATTCAAATCAAAATATACTATTTTTCACATTCTGTGTTTTTTTCCATATTTTTCCCTTTTGTTCTCTTTCTTCCTTCACAACATGACTTATATGGAAATATATTTTATATGATTGCACACAAATAACCTATATAAAATTGCTTATCATTTTAGGGACAGGGGAGGAGAGAGAGGGAGAAAATTTGGAACTCAAAATTTTATTTAAAAAATGAATGTTTAATTGGAAAAAATAAAATCCTATTTAAAACTAAATAAATAAATAAACGAGCTTCTCAAGGCAAGAAAGTGCTGGGGAAGGTGGGGAACATGAGATTGAATGCCTAAGGGGAAATGGGCAAGAGTCCATGTCCCATCTGGACACCAGTTAGAATAGAATACAGCTCTGGAATTCGAAGTGCAGGACATATCCTGATTCCAGAGTTGAGGGGCAGGGAGGGAGGAGA